ACATGGACACTAAATCGCAGATCTGAATCAAACCACAATCCTAAATTTTTGCTCTCACCCACTACAGGTAATGGTATGTTATTAATGTTCAGATTAAACGAACGCTCAGAAATCATACGTTTTTGTTTAGAGCCAAACATCATTGCCTTTGATTTGTTGGCATTGAGGCTTAGATTATGTGCAATTGATATATTGTATAACATATTAATATGGTCGTTAATCAAAGAGTAGGAGTTCAAAGTGTGATCAATCTGTCACCCATTCAACACGCCTGGGAAGAATATTATCCGCTTTCGGCATCCTCCACAGACTTCAGTGGCACTTCGGCAGCAGGTACAAGTAGCTTGGTATTTGTGTGGAGACACGACAAATTATTAATTTTTTAATTTTTTTCAGTATTAGGATTTTTTTGAAGCTTTGATCAATAATTTACCCAACCCTAAGAGACATGTATATAAAAAATTGTTGTAATAAGCGCATTATTACTGAGTGCTGTCTTCTATTTCACTTATTATAATAAAAAACAAAGCAGTTATGCATGCTGATAGTAAATCCTCATACTGTACTCATCAAAATGGTATATATACTAAGTGACATATAAATCCGAACACCCAGTTTAAATGGTTTCATTTTAATAAAAAGTTTTATAAGTACTTAATGAAGCTTAATAAGTAAATGATAAAAATTTCAAAATGATTGCACTGCTTTAAAGCCCTTTGACCTTTAATAATGTGTGGATGCACCCTGATGTGCTACGCATTTTCCAACGGGCCTAGGCATGCTTCTGATCAGGTGGTCAATGTCCTCCTGTGGTATCTCATTCCAGGCAATCACCAACTCCTCTCGAAGTGCTTCTAGAGTCTGAGGAGGACGTTGCAAATTGAGCAATCTTCTACCCATCATATCCCACACGTGCTCAATCGGGGATAAGTCGGGAGATCTTGGTGGCCATGGTAACAATGTGACATCATTATGTTGAAAGAAGTCTATTGTGACTCTTGCAATATGTGGTCGGGCATCATCTTGTTGGAAAGTTGGATCTGCCAGGGTGCCAAGATAGGGTAAAAGATGGGGTTCTAGAACTTCGTGGATATAACGCTGCGCGTTCATGTTACCTCTGATGAAGATTAAAGGTGACCTGGAACCATAAGCTATAGCACCCCAAACCATAACTCCAACAGTGTGATGAACATGTCTTTCAACAAAAAACTGTAAATTTCTCCTTTCACCACGTCGCCTTCTAACCCTGGCACGACCATCGTGCATGCCTAAACAAAACCGAGAATCGTCACTAACGACAATACTGTTCCATTCCTGATCCCAGAGTGACCGTTGTCTGCACCACTCAAGGCGATTACGTCGGTGTTCTCGAGTTAAAGGGAGGACCCAGTGTGACCGGTATGAAAACAATCCAAAACTTCTCATTCGTCGGTAAACACTTCGCATGCCAATAGGTCTTCCGTGTTCTGCAAACCGTTCATTTGCAATGGACCTGGTAGTGGAGAAACGGTCCCTTAAGGCCAATAATCTTAGGCGGCGATCTTCACGGTCTGTTGTTCTACGGCGGCGTCCAGTGACCCTTGCTCCTTGCGTACGGCCTTCTCGAAGCCATGCCTGACAACACCTAACCACAGTGTCTACACTTCTTTGCACTCTAACTGCAATTGCCCGAAAAGAAAGTCCAGCTTCCCGAAGTCCCACTATACGGCCCCTATCAAACTCACTAAGTTGACGAAATCTTTTCAGGTCTCCGTACTCTAGGCATCGTAACCGATCGTAAAGGATGTCAAGAACCAAAATCCGCCAACGTTGATTCTTTACTGCGGCTGAAATATTCATTTTTAGAGAGTTAGTGAATTAAAAAAAGGCAGTATAAAAACCGGAATGTCCAACTGATAAGGCTGAAAATGTTTTCACTTGTTATTTACAGTAAGATAAATACATTCACCAACTTTTATTAAAATAAAACCATTTAAACTGGGTGTTCGGATTTATATGTCACTTAGTATACAATAATGTTTTTATACGAACTAAAACAAAACTAATTCCTTCCCTTTCTTAATATGTTACTTGACTAGGAGGTATCTCGAGCGTACGGTGGTTATCGGAGGAGCGATCTGTAATAGAATTTAACACGTGGTAGTATATCAAGAAACAATTATCGTGACTGTAATAGCGCATGAAATAAACCTCGATCTTCAATGGAACGTCTGGCGCGAGATATCTAACATGAAATACGGCCCGATCAAGAACCTGTCTCGACAAACGCTAACATGACTTGCTTTAAGGAGGCATCGTATCGATGAGATTCAATTTAAGTGTAATTTATTTTATATCACAGTTCCTCGTGACCAGGACGAATCTACGTGTTGTACCATCAGGTAAAGTTCAGGAATGCTTGACACAGGTTAATTAAAGAACAAGAAATTGATTTAGCCTCCTTTGCAGTGCTTTGTTGGCGATCGAAAACAAAAATGTAGGAGCATGGGAAACAACGGTATCCTTTCGTGTTGGAAGAGGTTGATGGGTAGTGCAAGTAGCTCTGGTGTCGTGAGAATGAGGAGAGTACAATTACAAGTGCACAACCGATACTTTACACGCGTTTGCAAATTCTTTTTGTGGTGCCGTTTTCTTCATAGAAGGTTAGCTGAAATTTCGGCAAATTACATCCGATCTTCAGCAAATCTTGAGAATGGAATTCATCAAGTCAAATAGCTTGATATTTTCAAAAACTACTTGATCTGAAAATAGAATTACTTAAATCATTAATGCTTGCCTCGACTTCATTTTTGTATTGTTTTGCTTGACGTCAAGCATTTTTAAACTAAAATTATATGTTTGTTCTACCAAACACCTTCAGCGGTATTTATTTGTACAACCGATCAGTCGTATTTTGTATTTTAATGCAAATTGTCGCGTTGTTGTGCATGCGAACAGCGTTACCAAACCAAAAAACACGAAATCGATGAGAAGAAAGAATCAGGGGAGGTGTAAGATCAGCGGCGGATCAAGGACTTCTGGGCGACATAGCGCCATCTATGAAAAGTGTATTTTCGCTACTATACATGTATATCAGGCACAACTTAAAAATAATTATTATCATATAGGAGTAGGAGTGTGGTTCAAAATCCGGTCAGTTGTCATTTCATTTTCAATTGTACGGCCATTATACAGGGTGTTCCTTAATGATATGCGAATATTTAAGGGTATGAATCTACATGAAAAATTAATGTTAGTTTGCTTTATAAAGTATGGTTAAAAAATGTTTCCTTACAAAAAATCGGGGTGTTGAAGTTTTAGGAAAAAAATGGAAATTAATTAATATTTTCAGAACCGCTTCAGATATTTCACAGATATTTAGTACGTAGTGAAAGTTATTATAGTTGCATATTGTTCAATGCAAAAATAATTTTTAGCTTTAACAGTGGCGTGCGTACGGGTATTGACTTCGGTATTTTTTAAGAAAAAAATGGTACGCCAATGCTTTTTTGCCGAATAGAAATTATTTTTGGATTCCCAACTTGCAAAATTATTTTTAATTTAACTGGAAAAATTAAACACTTAGGGGTAATGAACAACTGACAACATTAATATAACATTAAAACCAACGATATGATTACAAAAATTGTTAGTATGCATGCTTCCGCCCTCCTTCTCATGGAATTGCGCAGTCGCTGAAATATCCCTGGAGTTCTATCACAAGCTGCACTATTCTTTCTCTTAATTTCTCTACAGTGTAATGGGACTTGTGTACACTAGTGTCTTAAGATAGCCCCACCAAAAGGAATCTAAACTGTTGAGGTCTGGGGACCTTGGTGGCCATTCTTGGGGCCCACCGCGGCCAATCCAACGATTTGGATAAACAGTTTGTAAATAATTACGAACCGCTACACTGAAATGCGCTGGTGCACCATCATGCATATACTACATATTGTTTCTTATCACTAACGGAACAGCATCAAGCAGCAAAGTTGAAGAAAATTGGAGTAAAGGCCCGGATACTGATTTCAAGTCAATTAGCTTGAAAATCAAGTCAAGTAGTGAATCCCTGTGAGAATGACTCTAAATTTATGCCGACTCAGCCTCTTACATCCGTGACCCACAAATATTGTCTTCTACCCTTCTTCCTTCAATCTTACCCTCTATTATTAATTTTGAAAATTATGTTCCAAATAACCTTTCATTTTCTAGCATATTCATTATCTTAGTATTATTTATATACCGTGAAAATGAAACAAGAGAGAATTGAAACTAAAAATGCTGCAAGTGATAAACAATAAATTTATGCAAAAATATTTGTCTGGCAACACCGCATTCATCTCTCGCCAAACTTGTGACACGTGATTAAACGTCCCTCCTACCCTTTAAATTTGTTTGACCAGCCTATCTCTCTCTGTCTAACTGACTTTTCCTGGTTTGTTTTTGTAAGAATAAAGGAGTGGATCTATCTATCATAAAAAAGAGCAAAGTCCATCGACAATATTCTCAATGCTCATGCACAGAGCGTTACACCACCACTAAAGCACGATGCTAATGATGCGGTGCAGTAAACAAAGCCCTTAAATCTAATTTTATACTATACTAGCAAGAATAACTTAAGTTTTCTTTCTGACTGGAGACGAAACGTCTGCAGCCGCAGATAGCGTTGATAGACCGCAAACTTCCATTTTAAGTCGAGTCGGTAATATCGGAATCAGTCCGCCACGCAACGTCGAATAAAACTTTCGAGTAACTTTTTCCCTTTGTGTTTGTCAGTTGTTTTCGTTCTAATCTCTTCCAACCAGAGAGATGTATTTCTTATTTCGAGTCTGTTTAAAGTCCCTGAACATAAAGTTTTCCCATCGGAGAAAACACTCTGTTTTGTTCTGTTCGGTATTCGATTACGGGGTAGTTTTTCCTCTTTAAAAAGTTCATGGGAAGCAAACAATACAAGCCGCTTTAAGAATTTTCCATAGGTTTTATTTGTTTGGCATAAGATTTTGCATGGATCCCATCCACTCATGAAAAGAGGTACAGTATTGAAGAGGCTTTCGATCAGTTGTGATACAATACCCAAGCAGGTGTGGCGCAAGGATATATTCTGTGTGCAACGTTGTGCCTAGTAAGCTTTTTTGTATGATAAATCCACATGCGTATTATATAAATTAAGCAGTCTAACCGTTCTGATCGGAAATTGCTAGCTACTAGCTTTGCATGTTCAAATGACCCACAAGCCATGAAGGCAATATAGAGAAATAACGAAACGTCCATCTTATTGAGAGCATCATATGAGTTGCAGACTTGTGAGATATATGCAGTGTACTATAAGTATAAAGGTCGCACTTACCTCATTGTTAGCATAACAATTGCTTGCATGTGTATAGATATTTGTTCTCTGATTCAGATGGAGTATTTCGCCTCTCACCATTGGGGTCTTGGAAAATGTCAAACATATTTCTAAGCATAATGAAAATGTAACTCATTCATTCGTAAAGCAAAAGCGAACTCGCTTTAGCCATTAACTGCTCTCATTATAGATTTTCTATGTCCAGACCGGTAGCAGATGTCCATAAATTTTATTGAAACTTTCCCAACCCGATGTCTGGTTTTTTCTGATATTAATTTCTCTCCAGTATCTTCATTATTCTTACAGCGCGGACTTTTATTAGGCTATAAAATTGAAACAAGTTTTTATGATGAGAAGAAGAGATAAGTTCAAGCACTTGCTAGCTTTATCACCTCCTCCATATTGTTTAAAATGTAAAAGATACGTAACATGCATGTTAATGATAAGAACGACGCGTCATGGATATCTTTTATATATAAGTTCTAAATTTTTTCGGTACTTTCTTCAGAATATTATCAAATTAATGTTTATTGTTATTACTTTAGGATGAAAACGGCGTATTGGATAGATGTTAATATTGCTTGCACAAATATCGAAAAAAAATTAGTTTTCTTCATAGCATAGTAACCGCCTTAACAATGTATTTCGGCTAGTGAAATTTGAATACTTAGATTAGAGTACATGGATTCTGTCTGTTAATATAAGTAAGCGGTATGCATTCTTATGACGAGTTCGAGCTTCCTTTTTGGTTTTTAGTAAGACAAACCTGGCGCCACATAGATACTAGAAGTTTTAAAATTATGTTGCAAAATAAAATATCTTCCTGCATCTTTGCTTCCTCATAACAGTCACTTGGATCGAGACATGCAGGCGGAGAGATATATATCATAAACAAAAAGACGCATTGGTTAATATATTACCGAACATCAACATATGTAATATTGGAATGTCTTATATATCATTCAGAAAGAATTATAGTTAATTCTTCAGTGACACGACGCCTACTCTCTACCCAACCCAAAAAATATACGTCGCGCAGGCCATTAAGCGCTCTTAAATCGAAGATGAAGCCTTATTTTTAAAAAACAAAAGCAGGCCATTAAATAAGCCTGTCAAAACATCCTGGTTGTCTTGAATATATGAGCTCGGTTAGTAGATTTCTGTTTCTCCAGTTCACACTGTGTCGAGACCCCTAGCGTCAAAAACAATCATCTTACGTCTAGACATCTGGAAAACAATAGATTCTATGGCACGAAATAATGATCTGAAAATATGCAGCAGGCGATGGATCATCTTAAATTATACTGAAGTATAAAAAAATACTTATGAAGCTTCGGTATCAGGTAACTGCTATTCTTAACTGTCAGATTCCGGTTTCTTACGCCAGGTTATTTGTTTCATCACTATCTCTATTCAATACATATTCTGGATAAGTTACACAAAAAGGTCTTATAAAAATAAACGGGCCCCCCTAGATATGCTGGCTATACCGTAGTTGCAAAAAAGTGTACCCTCGAGGAATTTAACAGGGTTGTTACTTCGCATAGACAAAACGAAGCTCATGATAATCACAAAACAATGCGTTAGCAATGTAAGTACCCGAAACAAGCGCGTCGTTTGTTTATAAATTGGATATAAATTATTCAATCCCTTGACCTCTTTTTTCTTTGTTCCAGTCAACGGAGGATGGTCGCCTTGGTCACCGTGGACAGACTGTCGATGTCCGGGAGCAACCCTTTCAGCTGGGAAGCAGAGTACTCGCACTTGCACGAATCCACCGCCCAGCAATGGGGGTAAGCCCTGTCAAGGGATCAGCGTTAGGAAGACGAAAGACTGCGTACCGTGTCCGCAAGGTGAGGGCAAACTAGCACTTTGAAGTTCGTATAAGTCTTACGCTAACTGGATTACTAACTACTGGTGTTTGAAGGTAACAAAAAGGAAGCAGTCGTGAACATCTAAGATTTGGTCGTTATTCGCGAAAATTACCTCAATTGATAAATAATCCATTATTAAGCAAAGTGGTTGAAACTTGTTCAACTGGATGTGAGCGAAATGATACCGAAACAAGTTAAACATTTTCTGAGGTTAAAGTATATTTTTTATTTATAAAATGAATTTAGTTGGCGTTTCTGCTCATTTGAAAATCATAATTTTTTCGAGGATGCATTTTTTCGGAATCTATTAATATGATCTTTGTAATTATTCATCACATATACTAAATGAGTTCTGATTTTTTGAAACGGAAATTCCGTGTTCTGCAAGAGTGAAAATGCATCTGATTATTTCATGGTGCGTATAGAGATGATTGACGAATAATCTTATCAGTTTCTTTTTTCTCAAAAAATAAATGTTCATCCCTCTTTATTGACAAGAATTAGGTACTTAGGGATTATCCGTTAGCATGTCGATTAGTACCAGTGTTACATATTGCCAAATATTTAATGTTTTTGGGACAGTCTTACGATAACAGCAAAGCCATATTACTATGTGGAGTTAGTATGCTTCTATTTTTTAGCTCGAATCTTTAAATTATTGACAAACATTTCATGATGAGTTACTACTTACTATTTTTTGTTTTGTCAAAGATTCAGTTCAAAATCATGATTTATATCTTTGATTCCGTTATAAAAATGTGCCGAGTTATTTCAGGAAGTTATGCTTTAGTGGCGAAAATAATCAGAATTCTAAATCTTTCTGTGCCTTTCTCCTATGTTCTCCTATAGAGTTGGTATTGTTTTCCAGTATATAAAATATCAGGAATATTTTAATATTTTAATGAGAATGCAATGCAATTTAACTTTCTCGTTTATCTAATTTACTAATTATAATCTGTGTTTCGATTCAATCTTACACATTAAAACAAAAACGTCTGCTTATTGAAACGGCTGTGGAGGCACAAACGTTCATTACTTATTATCAATTCAACCTTCACCTTGGGCCGAAGGTTGTGCTAATAGCCGAACATACAACCAAATTTAAGCTTTTTACATTTCTACCTCCGATGGAAAAGAGATGCATAATAAATTACAGTAATTACTTTGGATAAACACGCGAAACTATACTGGACTAATATCCTAACATTGCAGATACCTAGTGTGACTCACGATATCCACTCGTCAATCAATACATCCGCTTTCTTCAAAAGCGAAATTCTACCCTCGGTACATGGGACTTTAATTTAACCCCAACGGACCCCCTGTCCCCTTCTCTCACCCTTCTAGGTCCCCTGTCCCATTTAATTAAAATACCTTTCCGTGTTTCTCAATATACCTTACAAAGGAATATCCCTTACCTAACGAAAGGAAACTGGATACTTTCTTCCAATTCCAAACAATAATAAAGAAAATAAGAGCACAAAGAAGGCGCTGGGTGATAATGAGAATTTTTTGTCGCTCTACCGTTATTTCTCTAGCTGTATCGCTTCCGTGGTGGTTGTTCAGTTTCTTGGCAGTTCATTCTATCTATTCAATTTTCGAAGAATATTTGCTTGAATACCAGCTTGAATTTTATGATTTGCTTCACGAATTCTCGGAATATGCAAATTAGGCTTTACAGTTTATTTGTTGATGTAGGATTAGATATCTTCACTAACGGGTGTTTTGTGGAGGATAAGAACTCTATGGTGGAGTAAAACAAATGATTCGTTCTGAAATAATCGACATAATGTTAGAAAACGGTTAACGTTAACAAATAAGATGATATTTTGTATCTTACTTCCCATGCATGGACCAGTCCAAACTAAATCTGCTGTCCTGATGGGTGTTGCATTATTAATATTTTCGTTTGTCAGTTTGTCGTAAGGTATAAAGAATTTGTAAAATAAGTTAGAAACGTCGTCGTCGCATCGTGATGTAAAATCGACTATTTTATATTATATAGGCCCAATTTTACTAACAGGTGCACAAAATTTTCACCTATGGCACAAGTTCAATCAATAAGAAGGCATTTTTGAAGTAATGGATCTAATGAATTTGGTCGGCTACTTATAAAATATCTCTCATATTAGAGAAAATTGTACGATTTGTTTAAGATGGGCCCCTAATTCCCATATTGTATCAAGAAATACTTCATATATTACCTGGTTTAGATACAAAAAACCAACTGTACATTTGAGCCTGGACACAAAATTTGCAACCTTGACACAAATTCGGTCAGTCAAAAAAAAAGAACTTGCGATATACTGTCCCACCACTCAAACAAGTAATGTGCTAAAGTTAAAATACAATGGGAATAAAAAAAATACAACCTAATGTTCTGGTCATTATTTTGATGCCTGCACACAACAATGAATAAAAAAGGATAATGAATAGCTATTTTAGACATTTGCTAAGATAAAAAGCGATTTCAGCAACTACAAAGTTGTAACTTGAACACAAAAGGCAGCTGTATTTATTAATCTTTATTTCTAGTATTTTGCAAGTATTACGACTTCAATGACAAGACTTGTAATTATTCAGTTTTTAGTAAAAATGACCTACAAATGTTATACCATTTTTAAAACATCATTAAATAGCTAATTTTTAAGGTCATTTGCTGATTCAGTCTGGTACATTTTTTTCATGGTAATTACTAAAATTTTTGCATTGAAACCAAATGTAATAGTTTAGTGTTTTTTGGCATACAGTTTTCAATGAAATTAATGCTCAGTTGTCTCAACAAGCTATTAATGATAGCCCAGGAAAAAATAATGAATTGGAAGTTCTTTGTAGCCATAACAGGCAAAAAAGAAGCAAAAGGTAGTGATTTTTTGAAAAATCTTAAATGTGTCAATATTTCGAAAACTAGAAAGCTTTGCTGAAGTCATGTTGATTTTATCTGATTGATCTGAAGCCAATCTGCCTTCCGTATCACTCTGGCGTGTTATTTCAGGGACACCCTGAACACAAAAAACTATGAACTGTTGGTATAAGTGGTTTAGACAATGAAAACACCTACAATATGAAACATTATCTATTTACTGCACCGTTTAATTTGAACCACAAGCAATTCATGTTTTACCGAAAAGGCAAAACAGGAAAAATGAAATAACAGCCAAAAGTGAATCTCTCGGTGATGATTAACACCCAAACAAGTTTCGTCAACATTAGCTGCAAATTTATTCTTTGACGATCTTCCTAGTGCGCTGGAACAAATTGGACATATTCAACTGACGAACGATCGAATCACTAACCATGCAACTACAAAGTGTGTGACCGCAGCGCTCAAAATCAAGGGTATAATTTAAGCTCCTTGATAAATTAAGAGAATTCAGGCTTTTGTAATGATCCATTTCATTTTAAAAACGCTTTACATTACTCCATAAACTAAAGTCAATCCTTATTTATTTTTAGTATCTACTAGTAAGCATTCCCTATTATAACTTCAATAAAGACCCGTAGAACAATCTCAGCAGAACAAATGCAAATCATCCCAGCAAATAATATACCCGTCAGTTTGCGAATGACTAGCCAAAGTTCCTTATGAGATCGTATATTGGCTTTATGTTGAAGAATTATGCACCAATCAGGTATCACGCTGCTTCCTTTTCAAAATAACCAATCGCTTTCAGGCTTCGATCTCGATCACCGTGTGTTCATCGTAATTGTGATATTATCAGTTGTACCATTATAAGTGTGGCTTTTTGCAACGGCTTCACATTGCCATGTAGGCTAGCGTTGGAATATCATGCATCTGTCGCTGCATAATACTAAAACTGAACAATAATTGGACCACGTTATGCATAACTTGACCCAGCGCCATTTGATAAAGTTTCAGGTTTTGCTGCCCATCTGATGCTCAATAGTTCAATGTACTTATAAAAAAATGCAGGCATCATTGAGACCTGACATTCAAGAATAAAAAAAAAACTAATGGCAAAAGTAATTCATTTGCAACACTTACTGGAAAATCTGATCCGGATAAGCAGATTTCCAAAAAAGGTACTAAACATCGATATGAAAGCGTTTAATTCTTAACAAGGAAGCTGATTAGTTCTGGTTAATATCAGCAACTGAAAAACTCTCTTACATTGGCTTCTCGTAGAAGAAACTGAAACTACCTTGCAATGTTTACGACAAGCTACGTAAAATAGAAAGTGTAGCAAACATGTCGAGCATTAAAAGGAAGTTTAGCAGTTGCCCCATGCTTTATTCATAAACGTGATCAAAGGGTTTCTCGTAAGTCATTAAGTTTCACTAATGCATGGTACATTACATTCTAATTGACTGATTCACGGTTCCTCGTAAATATTTAGGTTTTAGCGAAAGGATGTTTTTTAGTTTCTTTAAACACTTTTACTATTACGTAATGTATTAAGTCATAATATCACAACGGTTCCAAGTTATGACTACTTCTTTAACTTCCACAAGCGGATGCAGAAAAGCATAATCAAATAAGTTGTAAAAAACTTAGAAGTAACCATCTTACAGTGGTTTTATTCCCACATGACTGTACTTTCCTTGATATTTCCCTAAACTGATAACGGCATTGCAAAAATCAATTTAGTGCAAAATTGCACCACTAGGAATATGACGTTTATCACCCAGTTTTTGGACGACAAGGTAACATTCAGATTGACAAACAAGAACTTTGACAGTAGCCTTTAAATTCGTTTTTCAACATAACTTGCACTGTTTTTGTGCAGTTGTGATGTGTTTTGTGCCTTTTCTGATGTTCCTTACTTTGTCTATCGTCATCCATGAAGCAAAATGGGTTCGATATTGCGGTTTAACTTTAACCTAGTTGACCCTAGGCGAGCTGACAAAGTAACATTCAGATTGACAAACAAGAACTTTGACAGTTGCCTTTAAATTCGTTTTTCAACATAACCTGCACTGTTTTTGTGCAGTTGTGATATGTTTTGTGCCTTTTCTGATGTTCCTTACTTTGTCTATAGTCATCCATCAAGCAAAATGGGTTCGATATTGCGGTTTAACTTTAACCTAGTTGACCCTAGGCGAGCTGACAAGGTAAACAAACAAGAACTTTGTCAGTTGCCTTTAAATTCGTTTTTCAACTTAACTAGCGCTGCTTTTGTGCAGTTGTGATGCGTTTTGTGCCCTTTCTGATGTTCCGTACTTTATTGTCATCCATCAAGCAAAACAGGTTCAATATTGTTGTTTAACTTTAACCTAGTTGATCCTAGGCGGGTTTTTGATCGGAGTTCACCTCAAAGAGAAACAGTTTAACTTGTAATTTACGATTGAAAAAAGGGCTTCAGATGGTAAACGTTTTCCTAAACAAAAAATACTCCATCACAGTGTTAAATTGTTTTTGTCTTTAACCTGCTTTGTACTAACCTATTTACCCTTCCTACAATGCTTCCGTAGAAGAGCTGGTGTTGGACACTGCTTACGACTATGACATGTACGATAACGTGTACGGTAAGCTGCTTCTGTGCTAGATCCAAATTCTCAAGTATTCACAGTTTCTGCTTCACATTGATACAGTCACCAATATCACGGGAAATTGCATGGGTTCCTCCCAAGACTCTAAGAAGTAATCCTAGACTAACAATGTTTGAATGCGTTTTTTATTTGGACTTTCTTAAAGTAGATATACGTTATACGAACTGTATTTGTTCGAAGCAGAAGCTGTGAAAGAGTCTCACTTCCATTGCTTGGTAATTAACACATTAACACAGACACTCATACACACACCGCTTATACTACAAGATATACTGTAAGTATTCATAATTACAATTAATTTGTTATTTTACCTAAGGCATTATTATTTTTTTATGGGATCCCAGCTGGACCTTGTTTTCTGGAAGATAGAATAGCGTTTATAGCTACTATGAATGCCTGCTTACCTGATAAATTGGGTAGTCTAACTTGACTTAAATTCTGATGTCTGATTTCTATATACACTTTATAAAACATCATTAAAAATCATCGCTGCTGAGCACTTGCCGGTTGCCATAACATTTGAGAGACGGTGATGTTTCTCTACAAATTGGCCTCCTTCTAACTTGTTTGTATGACGGTGTAGAAAAAGAGGTTTAATTTATAAGCCTAGTCAAGTATAAAGTTTGTCATGCTAGGATTTTTTGTATACAAGATCTTTCATAAAGTTCTATCGAATGATGTATGTTTTAAACGATAGCGCTGGCACCGTGTATACAAAAAAGACATTGCATGGAAATTGTGATATTACTAAGATATAAAACATTTTTTGAATGATTAGGGGACACCATGCTAAAAGAATCTGACGGAAGTTATGGTAGGCAGGAAGTGTCTAGCAGCGCTGGACAACAATATTAATAACGTTTTAAGCCGCGTACAGACCGCAAATCCAACGCCGAGCAAATGAATGCAAGCACATGTGACGTTGGCGTTTGTTCTTGGAAGGTATTGGAATGCGCTCGTCTACACGTCGTCTCTACCTAAGTTTCGATTTGGACCGCGCTGGTTTGAATTCGGTTTTAATGTCGAGCGACGACTCTCCGCTCATCGAACAAATCCGGTCCAGACCAAATCAAATCTCCCTTTGATTTACCGATCAACGAGCGAACGCAATCGAACGCAAACACCGACCGTTGGCTTATGTTGACTCGCGCCGTACACACAGATTCGAACACCTCCAAGTCTGTAAGCACATGTGCCTTGGTCTGCGTTGGAATCTCGGTCTGTACGCGGCTTTATATAAGTATATATAAAAGTCGGTCTTCAGAATTTAAGGTGAGTTGGTGCTACATTTACTTACTTTTCACAGTTCTGTCGGTAAATCTACCTAACTTAGTAGGTACGTTTTGATTTATAAATTTTCTTGTTTTGGAGTTTCAACACTTACATTGAGGCTTTCTAGGTTTTAAAAATGCTCCAGAACACACAATTACAAAGTTTCTAATTTGGGCTCGGTCGATAACTTCGACATTATGTATGCTATCTAAAAAAGTTGATCACAAAAATTGTAGCCAACAGTATGCTCCTTACTTGTGAAATAAATTTATATCTACAAGGTGATTTTACGAGGTGACGAACTTTAGTTTTAATGGAAACGCTCACATTTTATTGCAGGTTTGGATAGGCCCTTTCAAACGAAGCAATCTATCGCCGCCAAAATAGTTGAAAGAATCATATTAGATAAGCTCCTGTCATTTGCTTTCGAAAATGACCTTATCCCTAAGAATCATGGATTTCTCCCTGGTCGATCAATAATGACCAACCTTCTCCACTCTCTCAACGATTGGACTCAGTATCTGGACACAAAGACTCCTGTTGATATAATCTACTTAGATTTTTCTAGGGCTTTCGATCGCGTACCACATAGAAGGCTTCTGTTTAAGTTGGAATGTATGGGAATAAGAGGCGAGTTGTTACTGTGGATTAAGGCTTTTCTCACCGGGAGGACTTTCTCTGTGCGCGTCAGTGATAGCCAGTCTCACCTTCATCATGTAGCAAGTGGAGTTCCTCAAGGCTCTGTCTTGGGGCCAGTGCTGTTCCTTCTGTATACAAGTGACCTGCCCGCATTGATTTCCTCCACATGTTCAGCTTATGCCGACGACACCAAGATTTACAATACTGTCGTAAATTCTGCTATGCTTCAACGAGATCTTGATATTGTTTGTCAATGGTCAGTCAGTTGGCTTTTACCCTTAAATCTAACTAAGTGTTGAGTCCTTCACCTCGGGAAGACAAATCCGCGATTTACATACAAGATCTCTGACCACAACATCGAAGCAGTTTCCAGCCACACTGATCTGGGCGTTGTACTCAACGATCGTCTTTCCTGGTCAGAGCATATTCACCACGTTACATCAAAAGCCAAGAAACTTCTATACATGCTGGAGAGGTCTTTCAAAGGATCCGATGTCAACACTTGCGCCTACATTTACAAGGCATTCGTGAGGCCAATTCTTGAATTCGCTGGCCCGGTATGGGACACTGTGCTTCTGCGCGATAGAAATCTCGTCGAATCAGTACAGCGTCGGGCTACTCGTATCCCTTTTGGAGCACGAAGACCAAGCTATGAAGATCGCCTTGAATTATTCAACCTGACCTCATTCTATGAGCGAAGACTTCGTGGCGATCTTATAGTTACGTTCAGGATACTTCATGGTTTGATGGGCACCGACCTCATGCATCTATACCGTCTGTCGCGCAGCAATCTACGCGGACACAGCTTCAAACTGCATAAGGAGCCATTTAAAAACAACAATCCGACAGTGGTTTCTTCCCAACCGCATATTCAACACCTGGAATAGTTTACCTGAAAGTGTGGTTGGTGCTACTTCAGTTAATAGCTTCAAAGTGCAGTATGATAGCTGGAGGAGTGTACAAACTTTATAGCTATGAACTGTCTTTTTTTATTTTTTCTATTTGATGTATTTGTGTTACGTATCCGTACACTATATTTACTGCATGAGCTTATAGTACTGTGTACTCTGCTCATCTCAATTGTCATAATAATAATAATAATAATAATAATAATGGGTTTTCTATCGAAAAAACACTCAACTTTGACAGCTCTGACCTCCACAACTATTATAGCTAGAATGTTCGTCAGAAAGGATTTATTCTCCCATATTTCGTCGCTTTCAGTTTTTTAAACAGTTCATACAGGGTAGACAATAAGGCAAAATGGACTATTTCTCAAAATTTTCAAATGGTATATTTTTTCGATTTCCCATTTCACAAGCTTTTTTACAGTATATAATATCAGGTTTATGGGCGTTTGCATAACTAGTTTCTGAGTTGTAGCTAACCTTTTTCCTTAGAATTGGTCTATTTTCATTATAAATTCAATCTACTCAGCCTCATGCAATAAAGTGGAAAAGTCAAGAAGGCGTCCCTGGATTTTTTTTAATACGTACAAACTCTCTCAAACCAAATATGAGAAAAACGCTTGTGAAAAAAGAATTGGAAAATATGAAAGTATACAGGGTGTTCCATTTGAAAATTTTGAGAAATAGTTCATTCGCTTTATAAAAGTAAGTAGATAGGGGCAATAATATTTACAGGGGTGGGAGTTGTTAAGGTTGTGTTTTTTTTTCAATACATTGTCCAATATCTCAACAATTTGAAAAGAAAGCGTCACTGTCATGTAATATCAAATTGCTTCATTTGAAAAGACCTATCCAAACCTACAATAAAATGCAGGCCTTTAAAATTAAAAAAAAATAATGTTTTGGTCACCACGCTGGAGAAGTTAAAATATTTTCCAAGTCAGATGAATACCGTTGACTACAATTGTTGTATTCAACTTTTCTGAATACGATGCGCAATAACTGAGTTATTGACCACTAAAAACTCTGTAAATTAAAAAACTGTCAGACTCATAAGGTACTCAATTTCTTTTTAATTAGTTGAGCCGGCTCGATGGTCATCCTGGTCAGAGTGGTCAGAATGTACTGCCGACTGTACAAAAATCAGAAGAAGACAGTGCATTCCAGGCAACGGAGGGAAGAAGACCTGTAGCGGAAAGGATACACAAAGCACACCATGTTCAGCGGAGCAGTGCAGGACCATGGAGCTCACACGTGTCAGAGAAGGTTAGTGTTTTTGTGTCAGATTTATATGTGCAACGAAAATGCACCATCTGCTTTACAATGAAACTACAATTTTTGACATACGGCAACTGTATTTTTTTCGTTTTCATTAGAACATAAGCGAAATATCGCGCAAGACACACTTCATTATCTAACCATGCTCCTAAGCTACTCAAAAGCAGAATGCAGAGATCATATCCATATCTAGCTCCAAAGCTGTATAATATCATTCCTTCAAATATCAAACAACTACATAGAAAATTTGCTTACAAGAGGAACTCGAGTACTTGGTTAAATGACCAACCTCGCATTGAAATTCCGAACCGAGTCATTTCAAATAATATCAGGTAACCAAATAAATTCTTGCGATTTTTAGTAGAAAAAATATAAATTTTTATTGAGAAACAATAAGACACTATTTATTCGTCGAAGTAATTACCATCACATTCAAGTTTGTACTCATTCAGTAGAACAGGCAAATGATTTAATCAACACTGACTTACGAACAGTATCTGACAATTGTAAAGAACACAATTTGAAACTTAATCCTGATAAAACGAAGCTTGTGCTTTTCTGTTCTGATCGCAAGTGAGAAAACTTGACCCTCTTCTTGAATGAACAACAACTTTACTTTTCAACTAGCTGTAAGATACTTGGTTTGACCATAGATGACAAGTTACGTTACCAACAGTCAACAACAACAATCGTGTATTATATTCTAAGAATCCTGTATATTTAGTAGAAAAGCTGGTCCCTAGGTCAAGTATACATAATGTCAATCTAAGACATCAAAACCATTGTACAATGCCTTTGTACGAGTATGTAACATCACTCTTTTAGTGTATATGTAAAACACCATATTTGTATGTCAAATTAGCATTAAGCTTTAATCTTTAGAAAGGTTGAGTGTAAGA